AACGCTGTTCAGGGTAAGTAACGATATGTTATTTCTGCTTGGTTAGTCTCTCTGTCTGCTCAAAACGAGCTTTTTAATCAGTTTGGTCAGCCATTTTTATCATAGCAAAAAAAAGTTGTTAGCTATTTGGACGACCAACGTATTGCTCTGTGTAACGTCTATCATTTTCACGTTGTTGTAGGTAGTAGTTAACCGTAGCTAATAGTTTTTCTCAGTGGGTATAATGATTGCAAATAAAATTGCAATTGATTTAAGCTGTTTAATTTTTTTTATATTTTGCTTTTCCCCTTTTAAAGCTGAAGTCGCAAAATTGTTTGCCCCTTACAGAGCGAGGCCTTCCTCAACGCCACTTTCATCTCTGATCCCTAAATCTTCCAAGAAAGCATGCCTCGCCGTTTACACACACACCTTCTTCTGCTTAAATGATCATATGTCAGACACAGTGCCAGCCAAAGCAGTCAGATTTAATCTAGCAGCAGCTGGATTTGGGGAAAAACGGATTACATTCCAAGGTAATGCTACATGTCATATGTAAAGATTTAGTTTAACTATTTTTTACTGTTAATGCGTACCTTTATTGTAGTCATGTACAGTAAGGACTGTGTTTTACAGGAAGGAATGATGATCCAGAAATGGTAAAGGTGAAGATTGAGGATACCTTCCCTCAGCTAAAAGACACAGGAGGGTTTGAACTGCTGAGAATCTCTGGTACAACACGAAGCCGTAAACTATGCACAGTCTCAAGCCCAGACACTGGATATACAGTGGAATATCTCCGCAGCCCATTGAGTGGAATTGGACAAGCATTGATCTATATAAGGCCACTGCAGAAAAGTGTTGCTTTGGACGACGTGAGTAATGACTTGATTCAGAATTTATTTGCATGTAATAATAAAGTAGTTCAAATGGCTAGCTCAGATCACTTTAGCTGTTAGGTGGTTAGAAGCATGACTGCATATGAGTAATAATGTTTCTGAATGTGTATATAAGCAATTGTTATAAGAGGTTTCCGTATCATAGCTTAGGAGGTGAAATGTCAGTTTGTGTGCACAATTTGTTTCTGCTGCCCACATGTTGGCAAATCACTTTGCAGAACTGTCAAAATTGTTCTTTTTTTTATCACATTATACACCAGATGTATATTATGTTATCTTTTCCATATTGTCTGTATACCCCGATAAAGACAATGAGCTAAAATGCATTGGTCTTACAATAATGCCGTTCTGCAGTCTGCAAGATTTGATTTGATTTCTGGAGATTTGATTCTTTCAGTTTTTCACTCATCCATTCACCTTGACAGTAGGTGAAATGTATGCTTTGTTCCTCACTGTCTGTAGAGCCTGACAACTCTCCAGCAACAAGGACCTCT